CTAAGCATTTTTGGAGTTGAGTTTGGGTCGTCAAAGAAAAAAAAGCTATTTTTTAAAAAACCATAGTGAGGATAGTACAGAATTTGTCTAATCTTTCGGTGAAAGAATAATCGTGAATCGTGAAAATCAGTTACTTGAAGATCGCCAAAAGTAAGCGTGCGCTCCACCACCCGAGAAAGAATCTCGAAAATTTTTTTGAGTCACTCAAATGAGTTAATAAAGTGTGCAAGCGATTTGTTTGAATCGTAACCAAAACATTTTGAAAAATTAACGGTTTCCTTGTTGCTGAACGTTAGTCCACGCTGCTCTGCTCGTTGTCTTAACTTACATTTCAGGTAGGGCGTGGAACAACCATAGATCGCTGAAAGTAGACTTTTTCCGGTAAATAAACGAGCAGCCAAATGTCTAGGCATTATATGGTTGTCCCGAAAGTTTTGTCCGTTTTTTGAACCTATCATAAAAACACGTGGAACGAAGATAGAGAAACGCTCTAAGCACTACCCGACGCAGCTTTTCCTCCTCTTTCTAAATGTCATGCTACCATGCCGATTATTCTTTTGCTCACTGAGATAAACGCCGAAATTTCGAACCCATGATTTTTACTATGTCCAAGTTTGGCAATTTTATCACAATCTTTATTTTCAACTTTTGATGACCTTTGATAGCGCTCAGATAGAGTAAACAAAGCGCAATTCAATGCAAGCTTATTCAGCTGGTTTTTCAGTATTTTTTAAAATAATTCTTCCAAAAATCTTCACTTTTGCGAAGTCCCAAAGTACAGAAACGCTTCGAACACTAACAAATCATCGGATTTTGAAGCTTTCAAAAATCGATTACGATTATTCACTATATTTACAAAGCAACTGAGCGTTTACCGCTTCGAAATATAAGATTTCGCATTTTACGGTACACGCTGGGGCGGGGGGTCAAATTCAAGAATTATGGAAATTTTATCGTTAAAGACCCCTTAATTGGAGAGAAAATACATTCAGTGGAAAGAGGAGGAAAAGCTGCATCGAATAACACCTTAATTGTGCGCCGTTTCATGATGTCTGGCTTTTGGCATCACCAAAAATGGAATTTGATAGCATCAGAAAAATAATTCTAAAAAATTTTCAAGGCTAACTGTAGAGGCCGCAAAATTGCATTATATTGCCCTTTGTTTGCTCTATCTAATTGCTATCAGAGCTTGTCCGAAAGTCAAAAATGAAGATTGTGAAAAACTGCCAAACTTGGACATAGTAAAAACCATGGGTTCGAAATTTCGGCGTTTATCTCAGTGAGCAAAAGAGTAATCGGCATGGGAGTATGACAGTTAGAAAGAGAATTAAAAGATGCGTCGGGATATGTTTAGAGCGTTTCCCTATCTTTGTTCTAGTTGTTTTTATGATAGGTTGAAAAAACGGACAAAACTTTCGGGACAACCTAATACATAGGAAATTCGAAATTTCTCTCGGATTCGAATGTCGAATAATATTCGAAAATCAAAATTTTAGAATATTCGACTATCGAATATCATTCGAAAATTGAGATCTTCGAATATTCGACTTTCGAATGATCGAAAATGAAAATTTTCGAAAATTTGACTATCGATTATTATTCGAGATCTCAGATCTTCCAATAGAATTTTCGAATCGTTCGCATTCGAATGATTTATTCGAATAATCGAATAATCACTTCGGTCCAAAGTATAATGCACGTTGAACCAATCTAGTCTGTTTAGGTGAACAAAAGACAATTGCTGTTACGGCAAGTTTCAAAATGAAAGAAGAACTTCCAGAAAAGTGTTCAGCTGCAAAAGTGTGTTAAATTTAGTAGATGACGCATGTGCACATGTTACCTATCGGAACAAGTGTACTTTCAGAGAAAAATCTACGACTGCAAAGTTGTTCCATGCTCTACCTGTCGTTCACTGATCGACTAGCGGGCTGGGACGACTGTATAATGGGCAGGGTCCGGCAGTGGTCGAATGGAAGCAGGCTGGAGTTCGTTTTTGGGACAAAAAGGACGAAGGAGACATCGTTTTTGCGAGGTCCGGGGGAAAATCTACATGCATTACTAGTGAGATATTTATTGATTTATTATTTATTGCACCAAAAGTGCGCCATCGACTAGTCAAAAATCTAGGCAACAGCCGTCAGGAATAAAAAAGAATTCAGATAAAACAGTCATCGAAGAATGTTCTCAGTTTTGATGCTACCAAACTAACATGAAATGAAACTTTATACCATCCAAATTTGACCACTATTTTACCAAATTTGGAATATAGGCATAGAATATCATTAACGGAAGAACTATGTAATAGTAACACCTTTTCCAAATTTAGTCCGTTTCCAGACGGCCACCATACGATCTGAGCGTATGGAGCACATATTTTTGTACGTTCACAAGTTGTACAAGTTTTGGATTTTTCTGTTATGGACGAATTCTCTGGTCAAAAATCTGTCCCTGAGCATGGAGACATTTCCATATCCTTGGTTTTCCTTTGTTTTTTGCCTTAATTGCTTCATACATCGCTTTGTCAGATATCGCGCTCCAATGCCAAACTCCAACTCGCATGCGTATTATTTAGCTCCACTTTGGATTTTCACCCTTATTTCACGTTTTTCCTTTCAGATTAGTGACTCTTTTTTGTTTTCATTATCTCCTAAGTCGATAGGTCCCGGATAAGGGACAAAGGGGACATCGTAAAATTTTCGAAAAGGGGTGAAGGAGGGGGGTACTTCGTTCACAAAAACTCCATAAAGCACATGTTTTGATTTCGCGCCACAAGCGGCTGTAAAATGAGCGACTTCTCAGACACTCGCTGTTGACTCGCGCCGGAGATCCGCCCCTTTTTGAGGGATTCGCGGGAAAGGGCGTAGACATGCGCGAGACAATATTTTGACAGCTTCTGCGGATGGTCGCGAAAGGAAATCGGGAGATGATGTGTGACTCAGCGAGCAGTTTCGCAATATCGACGCGCGTTTCAAATCTCAGCTCATATTGCATCATTTCAAGTTTTTTGCTACTTAATTTCTGAATTCGTGCATTCCATCCGTCCTACCTAAGCCCTCTTCTTTCCGTTATTTCATTCCAATCCAAATTTCACTTTATTTGAAATCAATTTTGAAGCTTCTTCTCTAGAAAACGAAGCTCGACTATCTCCGTGATTGTGGGATGTCACATTTTGTCTCGTCACATTTTTAATAAGTAGGCTCCACTGTTTCCTCATTTCGCACCTTCTTCTTATTTTTAAGGTTTCGTTCTGGATGCTCTTGGCTTATACGTTGATGATTTGCTGTTACCAGCTTCAGAATTAATGAGGAACCCACGATGTATGTTTTGGAGGATCCTAAGTCTGCATTATTATTTTTCATTGGTTTAGGTTTAGATGGTGGACAAATCTTGGAAAGGACGACAGCGAGCGATCAAAAGCCTTCGACATGCTCGCACAGGCCAGGATGGATTGGGCGGTCTTCGCTCGCACAGCCCTCGGAAGAGCCTTGTAAGCTATTGGAGTATTGATAAGGCAGATGGACATTCTATCTTGCGTTTTGCAGGGGAGGTGTACGGGCTTATGTACTGAATGCGGTGAGAGCTAAACTCCTTCCTTCAAAGGTAAGATGCCAGTGCACTATTCCCAGTCTTTGTCGACTGATTTTTTCTTTTCAGAAGAAGCGTGTGATCGAGACTATGGCAAGCAGCTCTTCTGCTGTGAAGGAAATAGAAAAGACCATCCCCGACGAGTTTTAGCCCATCTGCTACTATTTTTCTCTAGTTTGCTGTACTTACATATCAATATCGTATCATTTGCCTTAACTCTACTCCCGCTTTTGCGTATCACTTATTTGCATTCCGAGATTCTCATTGTTTAAATGGTTACCAAGTACACTTCTATCTCATCATGTACCGTCTGCACCCCAGAGAGGTTCCCATGTGAACCAGCGTGCGTACATGGTGCGAGCTGACTTTCGCTCTTTTTGACACGTTTCTTCTGAGATTTCAACGGAAGTGTCCGAGGTTGACATGTTCAAAAGTGCGAAAGGCAGCGAGATGACGTGGTACCTATGGGAACCTCTCTGGGGTGCAGACGATAATTTCGTTCTTTTTAACACGTTTCTCCTGAGATTTCAACGGGAATCCCCTAGGTTAACACGTTCAGAAGTGCGAAAGGCAGCGAGATGACGTGGTACCTATGGGAATCTTGCTGGGGAACAAACGATATATACCCTCGATATCATCCCATATGTCTTCCCTCAACATGGCGTGGATTACGTGGCTTGATGAGGCGCCGCCTCGCCTCGGGTTTGCGCCACGTTGCGTGCGCATTTTCGGCGTGATTTGGCAATAAGAAGAACGTGGAAAAGCCTGCGCCACGTTGTGTTGAGCGCCACGTCGTGCCAAATGATGCGCTCGCAACGTGGCGCGAGCCCGAGGCGAGGCGGCGCCTCATCAAGCCACGTAATCCACGCCATGTTGAGGGAAGACGTATGGGATGATATCGAGGGTATATACCTTTATATATATGTATTTATAAATATATATGATGTATATTTATACATACACATATAAGTATATACATATATGTAATGTACAGCAAGTAGGGATATAGCGAAATTATTACTGCGAGATAACGCGCTCCAGTCGCGTCAGGACATCAAGATGTGTCGCCGTCGAGCTGCCGCGTATTTCCTGCAAGATTGGGGTTGCGTCAAAGCGTTGTCTCGGGCAGCATTGTTCCGACACATAATGCTGCCTCGGGATTTCGTCGCGAGGCCGATTACTTGTGTCGCGCCTTCATTCAGCGCTTACAAAAAACTTTGGGCTGCGCGAGTCAACAGCGAATGTCTGAGTTTCGAAATGAAGAGATACTCGTCCGCCTCGAACGCAGGGCGAGCGCACGCCCGCCCAGCTTTGAATTACTGTAGCGCACTGTGGGTTCAGAAGGGCCGTCTCCCGCATTGTGCTAGTTTATACAATGTTTTTCTTTAAATTTCCACTCCTCTTGATTGTTTCATTGAGCATGATCACAACAACACCTAAAGTCATTATTTACAACACTGTCGATGGATTTGATCCTAATCTAACTACAAAATGACAAACAGACTACGAATTTCTATGCGGATTCTAATGAGGTTTTTCATCACTGAATATCCAACCTAGTTTCGGCATCAACTCCATATCGTTGTTTGTGCTCCTCAAATAGATCGTTGAGCTTTTCGACGTAAATATCGTGTAGCTCATCAATCTGCTGTTGTGTGGGTTTTTCGGCTTTTTCTACAGGAATGGGAACGCCAACCACGGTGTTGATTGGTTTACGGTATGGCAGATAGCCGTAATTGAGCTGCAAACAATTTATATCGAAGATTAACCTTACACATACTACGAACGACTTATGAGAGGCTCGGGGTCAGGAGTCACACCGCGCGCGATAGCCGCTCGCCGCGCCCAGATTTTGTGCCTCACAATAACTCTCCGGTGCTAAAGTGGCACTTAACCACAGTAGGAGGGGGGGGGGGGTGGGTGGAGTGGCGCAGATAAATAATTTAATGGGATAAGTAACATTGCGACAGGAGTACTGAAGGAAGCTGAATCTTGTACTGCTTGAGGTCGCGCGGCGTCGGCGAAAAATCGTGACTCCTGACCCGTAATCCTCATGAGAACTAGAGTATAGCAGCTACTCCGACAGATGAAAGAAGGTGAAGATGAAGAGGAAGGTATATACTAGGTGGACTTTTTCCCCGATGAGATACCATTTGATGCTTTTTACCTGGAAAATCCCTCGACCATGGAAAAATGGTAAGGAGTAGCCACAAATTCGCTTTACCCATGACTGGAAACGGCGGATCGAAGAACCTCTTGGATTTGGAACCTAATACTCAAAAGTCAGTAAAGCCAATTCGAAGACATTCTGACGAGCCTGGTCAAAAAGTTCGTTCTCGCCAAAAGAGTAGACCGGCACGAGATGCGCTCCGGTTTTGAGTGCTTCCTTGACGAATCCTTTTCTTGACTTTAGCGTCAAGGTATGGTATCCTGGATGGGCATCCAGCGCTTCTTCTGCCCCACCTTGAAGAAGAATATTAAGTTAATCTGATGTGAATTCACTACTCTCTCAAATGTCATTGCAGTTATCGTCGATTCATGCCACGCAAAGACTGGACGCCGTTGCGTCCGATGAAGTTAGTTTGTGTATAGGAGAGACAGCAGACGGTAGGAGGAACGAAAGAGCGCTCAGTCACGGAGGCGCTGATATGTCCGCAGTCTTTGCGTGTTATGAATCGCCTATACTTAAAGTGGTGTCTGAATCATTGGGACGAAGACGTGCAACTCACCGATTACAAGTACTACGGCTCGTCCAGTCTCAGCACCGTTCAGCACGTACTCAATGCTTTGTTTTGAAGCGTCGATCATCCCCATGAGCATCAGTAGCTCCCTCCGAATCATCGTTTTGAAGTTAGATGTGAGTGTGCACACATGAAAGCGAATTCCAGGGAACTAAAATCGTTGTAGTTTTATAGAGATCCATAATTTAGTGCATTTGAAGGTCGATGTAGTATTGCGTTAGCTGCGGTAATGACACGTAAAAATGGTTATTAAGCTCCTATCCTTCCCCTTATCCTTGAAAAGCCACCGTGGAGTGTACTGCGCACGGCAAGGGAAGTGCCTTAAAGGTCATCCAAGTTGAGATGGTGAGGTTTTGATGCTGTGGAATTTGTAGGGACCCCTAAGTAATTAATAGTTCAAGTCTAGCTGCAAAAAATTGATTCCGAAGCAAGAAAACCGCTTCAGTGCGTGGAAGAGATTGACGTGGCTTCACCCATCAACGGGTTGTGTATAATATAAGTCACTTCGAAAGTGGGCTGCTCTTCAGACCATCCACGTTGATGGGCGGGGCTACGCCGGCCGCCTCTACCTTCTGAAGCAATTTTCTCGCTTCGAAGTTCATCTTTTGCAGAAGGACTCGGGAGATTACCTCGCTAGCGGGTCCGCTATTGGACAGCATCCAAATCTCACCATACTCAATATGATTCGATGGTGCTTTCATCACAATCATGCGAAGGCCTACAGGGGCTTTTAATCTGAGTGCCATAGTCGGCGCCGCTAGCGAGCAGCTCGCTTGGGTCTTTCGCCGCATTCGCCCTTCGGTTATGATATTTTTCCAGGCTTGAAGCGTGGAAAAATACCATGTTCCTAGATGTTAATGGCTATGCTTGAGAAAATGCTCCGAGACAAGCGAACGCGTCGAAGTGGCCCAAGCGAGGCGACTCGCGAGGACCCGAGCCGTGCGATATGACAATCAAATTGGCCCCTGCACATTTACTGTGCACGCATCAGTTTTGCGCCCTCATTTTTTCATGCGCGAATGTCAACAAACGGCACTATTGACGGAGATCTATCATATCATACCTTGACGTATTTATCCGTGCCATTGGTGGCAAAATTCGCAAAAACAGCCATGGCGATTATACCATGTGGATGACAGCCAACAAGATAGTTCTAAATATAAGTTTTTGTTAAAGATGATTACCACCTGGGATAGATCAAATGTTCTCACATGTGATGGGGAGAGATCGACGGTTTTGTGCAACCTAACAGGGAAATAATCAGCAAACCATTTGTGCACCCTCCACCTGTGACAAAGTGATTATGGAAGCAAATGGATGCAAACTGGCAAACCTTTGTACCCACTCACTGCTGTAGCCACCAGTCGAGGGAGAGTGTCTGTCATAATAGTACCAAAGAGCATAAAGTAGGAGTATGTGCCATTGGAATGTAATCAGCTGGTAAAAACAGTTGAGGTATATTTCGAAGGTTGGGAACAATTGCCTTATATCTGGTTATCGCGAATTTTGTCTGTTATTACGCGAAAAACCTCGTGTAGTAATTGGAGGAGTTCAAAAATGCATTCGATGCAGTATTTTATCCTTTTTCTGAGGGTTACAAATTTTGGATCACAATCTGCTGTTTATGCTTTTGTTACTTGCCTATCCGTCATTTCTAAATGCTCAAAGGTTTCTTCGGTATTCAGGAATTATATTCTGGACTTTCGTAAAAGAGTAAGTATAATACAAACAGAAAATGTCTGTTTGGAAATGGACTATATGAAAGTGATTCCAGGTGCTTCTGCTCTGCTGTTAAAGCTTCAAAACATTTGCTCTTCAAAAAGTTTGATTTCTCGTGAAGTCATGAAACACACAATTACAACAAAAGCGAAAAGCCTTCAGATTTCTACGTATTCAAGCTTGATTCTTGTCAAATACAATTCGTAGAGGATAATCAAGTTTGGTGCTTCAAAAAATCAGCTGTTTAATGATTTCATTACGCCTATGAGTTGTACGTGCTCAGAAGGCAGTGGCTTTTGGTGGCTTTTCTCAATTAGATTACTGATACAGACTTCAGAAACTTGGTCTAGGTAATCTAAATGAGAAAAATATAGACAGAGTTTACTCTACATCATATTAAGTCGGTGCAAAAGTTTTGTCAGTTTTTTGGAATGACCCGCAAATCCCGTGCAGTAAAGACAAACAAACACTTCAAGTTGTATCTGATGCACAATTTCCTCCTGTATCCAGCTGCTTACCAGTGTGATCTGTTGAAAGAGTGCGGGGATAATCGCTGGAATTTACAACCATTCGTTTTCATTATGTCCAACTTCCGTTGATTTTCAAAATTTTCGTTTGAAACTTTCGGGGAAGCTTCAATAATTGCAGGTAGGGCAAACCAACGAAGCAGTTTTTTTTCTCTTTTTCAGCTACTCCTTTAAGATTTTTTGAGATAATTTTTCAAAAATCCTGAGTCTTAGAAAAATCGCATGAACTACCATTGCATCAAACACTGCAAAATTTAAAGATTAATGAAGTTTCAAGACGAGACCATGACTATTACTGACCTTACAAAATAAATGAGCGATTTTCGCTTCAAATATGTAGATTTTGAAACTTAGATGTCAGTGCGCACTCATGGAACAGAGAAATACTGCGATTTTTCGCGCAAATATTGCATGCCTCGCCAAGAAAAGAAAACTGTTAGAACGAGGAGAAAAGATGCTTCGAATGGTATCTGAACCGTTTGCCATTTCATGCTCTATGAGGTGAGAATAGGCGGAATTTAAAATTTATAACTTCAAAAAATATTTTATAAATCTGAAATGCAAGCCACAGAGCTGCAAAGATTGCTTCAGCTGGCAAAAGGTTTGGTTTAGCTGCTAGTTACTAAAGCTCCAAAAGTTTCAAACAAAAATTTTGAAAATTAGCGAAATTTGGACATGGTGACAGGGTCGTAATTTTCGGCTATTATCTCAGCACTCTTTCAATGAATCACATTGCGTATATGGCACCTGGAAAAAAGGAAGAGATTCTGCATCGGATACAACTTCGAATGTTTGTTTATCTTTACTGTACGGGATTTGCGGGTCTTCAAAAAACTGACAAAACTTTCACACCGACCTAATAGATACCAGCGCTCTGAAATGCTAGTGTAGAACTTTTCGAAATTTAGAGGAATTTTTCGTCACCGTTAGACTGCTTGAAGAGCGTGTGATAACATCGCAAAGAATGATAGTTTGGAGAGAAATTGTGTCAGAAAGAGGATAAAATTTTGAATCTAATATATCTAAGTTGTCTGTCGGTCAGCGCTCCATGTAATTTGGTAGAGAAGGGACGAAATTTTTGAGACAACAAAATACTTCAAAACTTACCAGTATGAAAGGTAGAATGAAACCGATGATTGCCAGCGCGTAAACAACAACAAAGTGATATAAAACACCAAGAAGTAGCTTCCTTTGATCCCATGGTTCAAACATCGGAGAAAAGTCAATCCCGAACATTATACCGGTAGCGATAGATTGCAAAAGTTTTCCAAAGAAACAAAAAATCTCTGAATTTTAGGAGCCAAGTGCGAGTATATTGCAACCGTAACAGAATTATATAAAGAACTGAAATACTGACTGTTGCGCCTAGCTAATAATTGTTCATACGACGCGAGTATTTCAAGAGAAGATAGGAGATAATTTAAGGAGCACATCTATCATCCTTATGAGGTTTCATTTGAGGTGCCTGTGCTTCTCCATTGATCGCAATCATTGATCTCTTCCGTCAATTTTAGAACAAAAACAAAGAATTAAAAGGTGTACATGAATAAAGGACAGACGACAGCAATTTTTTTGCAGTTGGAGGAAACGGTAACAGACATTCTTATCAAGAAGAGTGAGGTGGGGAGGAGTGACCCGCATTTGCGGGTATATGTCAACAAGCGTAAGCGGGTAGTGAACGGGTCGATCAGCGGTAAAGTGTTTTTGTTGCTTTGTGTACTATACAGGTGTTCATCACATTGTAGTCAACATTCAGCTGATTATTAGAACCGTCATTGCGCAATAAGTCTTTTTTAGTAATAAGTTTATGTCTGGAACTTATTGTTAACATCAATAAGTTATTACCGTAATTAGAAATCATCTTTGTCTTCTCCACTTGATGCTGAAGCTTTTATATACAGAAAGGGATCTAATGCTTTGCTTGAGTCAAACGCGACAATGGTGAGAGGGAATCCATTGAATTGAACTCATTTCCATCCAGTCTTTTTCCTGTCAGAAATTTTTTTCAACTTGAGAGTTTCCATGTATACAGGGTATCCCAAAAGTAAGTACATACTTTTCAATCGTCAATATCTCTCTCCCCAATGGGTATTTTTTTTGCCAGTCAAGTACTGGCAAAAAAAAATACCCATTGGGAAGAGAGATATTACTATTATTACAGTACTGGCATTCTGTAAAGGAGGCTTCAACTTAGATTTAGTATCAGTCGAGCCAAGGATCGCTCTTCGTTACTGTAGATTTACAGTAAGATCTTCTAGCATGTGGAACCATTGTGAAATATGCTATCCAGCAAAATTATTTTGCTAAAAATCTGAAAAATCGTGTACTAGACTTTTCGCGCACGCTGATTCCACTACACAACTTTCTACGAGTGTTTTCAGCTATTTTGACGGTGTAATCACATCTCTGACAAACACTGGGAGTTCGGTTATTACAGTTCACCTGGGATAACTTTGGAAGGAAGCATAACAGTAAAGTGGAAATTTCGTATTCGAAATTAGCGAGTTCCATTACCATAATATAAGAGTTTTTGGCTTGTTTAGCTTTGTTCCGAGGCAGATTATGGCTTCCAGTGGCCTAAAATCCTTGTCGAAGTTCCTACAGTAATCCTACAGTAAAGGCGATCGGTGATTCGTTCAATACTGTCAATCTAAGTTGAAGCCTCCTCTACAGAATGGTTTAAATGGCGGAAAAAGACAAAATGGGAAGAGAGATATCAACGAATTGAAAAGTGTGTACCTTCTTTTGGGAAACCCTGTATACGGTAGAGGTCTAAGAGACTTTTCATGTATGACATTCAAGCACAAATTAATAAATAATGCAGACAAACGGACGTGCTGTGTGCTGCTTGAAGAGCTTATGGTGGTCGTGAAAGAGTGCATAATGGGCATGTACGCTGGTCAGACTTCTTCTTATCAGATTTGCTTGATACCACAACTGTTCTGGCGCCGTGCTAGTCCTGCTCCGTGGAGGCACTTGGTACTGATCGACCGCGTTCAGGCACGGCGCTACCCCAGCGCTGGAACGGCACTGGCACGGCACTGGAACTAGCTACTCTAGGCTGGCGGAGGTTACAGCAAGAATTTCGATCGGTATGCGGCGCTTCTCGGCTTTTATTTTGAAATTTGTTCTCTTTTGTCTACATTATTCTCCCTAGCCTCCTGCATTCATTCTCTATAATTCGATTTCCTACTCATTCAAAGGACTTAATTTCTGATGCTCTTGTGCGATGCGTTTGGTGTTCTTCTCTAAACATCAACAAGAGCATCAGAAATTAATTCTGATGCTCTTGTTGAAATAACATCAACATTATGCATTTTCAAGATTTACTTGCACGGAGATCTTCACACCACCACTGCTATAGTTGTATTGAGATATCGTGTATGCAACTTTCATACAACTAATGACCAGTTTATTTCAATTCTATACATAGTGTACCAAGTTCAACATGAAAATGTTATTAGCAGGAAAAAGAATCTCACAGTTTCTACACGTAATGGGAAGCGCTTCTTTCTTCTTAGCAGCGAACAGGATGCAATTACCCGCAAACTCAAAATTAATATGATAGCGAGGTAGCACTGCAAACATCGTCCAAAAACCGAAGCATTTGGCAAGTCACCTATCCAAATAACCTATACCTAGTATTTTAACCGAGTAAATCAGATGCTGGGTCTGTACAGGAGAGCAAATTGAGAAAAGCAGAATATCAAAGGCATACACTTTTTACAATCATATCTATGGTTTCATCGACGGTATCGCGTGGCACTGCACCGGTATAAGGCGGCAAACTGACCGCTTCATGAGTCGTCATATCATTTTCATCAGATGAGTAAAAATACCTTCAAAATTTGCGATTAGATCAGCACAAAGACGCGCCCATATCGCAATAAGGTGAACTGACTTTTCGAGTATTTCATGGGCTGCAACGTGTATGTTCATTGAATGGCTGTCGCATAGAAACTCCAATTTGTCTTTAGCTCCAAGCTCTTCCATTTTTGTGGCCACAGGATTCAGAAAGTCTGAACCATATTCTTGAGAAATACTGGTAGTGAGAACTATGAGGTTAGCTGTATGCAGAAAAGATTATGAGTATGTTATCAAAATCATGGCAAAGCTTGACAGAAAGACAGCAAGTACTTTGGCGCTCTTGCATTCGTGTAAGGTGTAGGATGGCACAACTAAAGTTGTTATGAAGTGGGCACTATTCAAAGTTTCATAAGCTGTGCAAATCCCTCACAAGATACATCAATTATTTTGAAGAGTTCCTCTCCTGTCCAAAGTAGTCGAAGACGTGGGAGCATATAAACTTGGCTTTTGAATAGCGAGAGAATTCAAAAGACTTTTTAGATCAGTGCTTAGTGATAAACTTGTAACAAGTGCTTTCAAATAAAACTTCAGACTTCGCAAGCAATGACTTCAAACGGAGAGCACTTCATTTGTCATCTTCAAAGCTCATATAGCGCTGATTGGGGTCCTAATTTGTGGAAAACCAAAAAATTCAAAAAAAAGCTGCGATAAGGTAACAAATAAACCATGGTCGCCTCTTTCAAGGGCACAAGCTATTGGAAAAAGTGGTTATACACTGCCGGAGTGACCGTAATTCAAGTAATGGATCAACAGCGGTATTCGAGAAAAAGTAAAAAGTACATAGGCGAAAATTAGTACCCGATACAGATACATCTTTTTATACATACCCGATACTTGTACTCGCAATAGTTGGTGTTTTCCAAATAAGGCGGGTACATATACGAACGCTGGTACTACTTTGTTCTATTTTGCTTAATATACACGCTATCCTAAAATTTCATAGGGCCTTCCATCAAATGTCTTCAGATAAGTCTTGACTTATCTAACAGTCTATGGACTTACCTGACAAGATTTAAGGGTGGTTATACAAAAAGCGGACATATGTGTATGATTACTGAACGTTATGTTGAGATGATAATTTCACCAAGCGTGTTGAGTGCTTCCCAAGAAAATTTCCGAAACTGACAACTCTTACCTGTCAGACCCATCGCTAACTGCTCTCCATAGGCCAAAAGAGATGACAATGCCTCCATAGCATCAGCTACAAGTGAGTATTCGAGAACAGTAAGAAAATCGCATAGAGGTGCCATCAAATCAGCTCCTAAGAGTGCTGCCAGGTGACACGAACGCGAAGACGTTGCCGTGTGATACATGATATAGAATGCCTATGAAAAAACTTTTAGACGGACAAAGTAGCATCAAAGCTTCGATACCTCTTTGCGCGTTTCGTAGTCAGCCATCTCAAGGACGACCGAAATCTGTTTGAGGGTTCCAGCATCAAGAACTGCTTGTAAGACGTCACCACCTTCGGCAGCGATGTTACTGCAGATAAAACAAGCTTCTCGCATAGTTGCATTCCGCGACATGAGCGGCAGCAGGTTGGCCAAAAGGTTTTCTCCTAGCATCTCTGAAAAAAGTGACTGAGCATGCTGATATGATAGTGACTGTCGTTTGTATTCTATGGACACAAGTTGGGCAAACAAAGTCGAATCGCGCAACTTAGCAGATCCTGATTATTTAATGGTCATTTGCAGTTTTCATTCACACTTACGAAATACAATTCAACTCGTTGTTTATAACAGGGCAGCGACACATCTTCATACTTATTCCTACACTCCAGAGTTTTGGATGGCCAGTGATGATTCTGCTGTTTTCACGTGAAATCCAATCAAGGCTTGTGCATACCACTAAAGGATTCACAATTGCTAAAGACTTACATTTCTGCCTAACGACCCATATTTTCGATAATGTGAGCGAAACTAAAACCTAATTCATCTAACAATAAGGCCTGAAGGGAATTGTACAGGAACAGCAAGATCAAATGAACCTAGGAAGCATATAGTAGTAGTGCTTCGGAGCTTATTACACAGTGAAAAGTGTAAAAAGTGGTTTTGACTATGACCAAAGCACTAGAATCATGCGTGCATCTGAAATCCTACAAAAAAAAATCCTGACAATAATCTTGCCGCTAATACTTCGCTTTCGAACAACTAGAAAATGTTGTTGAAAATGTCTGTTGTGCTAAATCACATTCGCTTTGAATTTCCACAAAAATTCCGAGACAGGAGGTGCATCTCCGACGTTGCTAGCTCAATCATAGCTCATATACTGTACAGTTCAGGACCAATTTAAGCTCACTACGCTGTTCATATCAAATTTGAAATGAAATCATTGCAATCTGTTGCTTTTTTCGTTCAGTCAAAAACTGTATACGTCAATACAAAAGCAATTTGCATGCACTGGACAACAAAATCATCAATGGTACACAAACCTAAGTTCTGAGGGTTTCCTAGTGAGCGCAATCTCGCTCTAGTGGATATATCTGGAAGAATCTGTCTAGTTTGTGATCAATACATATGTACATATTTCCAATATCAAGAAAAGTATGAAAGACCCTACTAGGATAAGCAAGAAAAAACGCACGACCAAAAAAATTTGCAGGCATGCCCTCTATCTTCATGGAAGAGGTGTTATGACTAGCTGATACAGCTGATTGCAAGTAGAACTCACCTTTCGTATATAATGACGTCTCTTGGATTATATTTCCGATTGAGCGTAAGACCCCTTGAAGCACAAACGAGGAGCAGGCAGGTATCGACTGTACGAGTTTAGTCAAAATCCCGGTCTCCGCCATGGGCTAAACGTTAAAGCTGTGTCGTATACCGCAGATTTAATGTGTCAAGCGTACCCCAAAAAACTCGACGCTTTCCGACATGAGCTTGCATGCTCGTACCGCATCCGCTTGGATGGTTTCGTCTTCCGAAGATAAATGCTGCGCAACGAGAGGCAACAGAAGGCAAAGCTAAAACTAAACAGATAGTAGACAAACAAACACACAAAAAAGGGAAATTGTGAGTCAGGCAGTGAATCTCAAACAGCTATTCCATAGGTCAAAGCACGAAGAGAGCAGAGTTTGGACATAGCTCTCCCATAACAATTCAAACGAGGAGAAAAAACTGTGCTAGCGTAACCACGAAGACAATTGCCGTTTTCGGTCGATAGCTTTATACATAAATAACCTTCGAAAACTGAGTTGCATTCCACCATCACTTTTCGGCCCCCAACTACCAACCTCAAATACCAAGAAGAAAATGTATTTGTCTCTCATCCAAGTACTGCGACGACGCCCTGGTCATAACAAGATATTCTCAAAAGCAAATTAGTATACATCATTCAGGAACTTTCATAATGACTATGCCGCAAGGGAGCTATGATCAAACCCATATTCACTAAGAAATTCATTACTCTCTCGTAGTTTCTGAGAATTTGCACTAAAGAGAGGCGAGCTCAAGATACTAATACTTACTTTGATTAAAATGTCGGTAATTCGGATTAGAAACTGCAAGAACTCAAGCGAAAAGTCGGTAAAAGGTAATAAAGGGACAAAACGAAAACCGTAGCGAATAAGCACCAAGCGGTTGCCATCTTGATCAAAGCGAGATCCGCGAATAAATCAAAGTGGAATAAACTATTGAACTCAATCAATTAAGCACCGTTTATAGATGACAAAATAGAAAACTGGTGATAAGTACAACACATACCTCAGCGATGTCAGGTGTAAATTCGTGGATGTCGGCAAACAGAACAGCAATCAAGAACATTATGTGCCTGAGGATGACAAGCTTCTTATTCCTAAAATCACAAATAGTATAATGACTGCTACATTTGCTGAGACAATGAACTCGTACTTGGAAGCAATGTGAAGGATGTTTTGCACAATTCCACTGCCCACAACATAGTTCCTATTTGCGACCGAAGCTTCCACCAAAGCAGCGGTTGACCATAAAATTTGCGAAAGAACCGAATTTTCTAACTGTGCTGGGACCCTGAATCATTGTTGTTATTGTTTCCATGTTTATCACGACTAGGTTGCTCAAAATGACTTTGAAAGCTCTGAAAAACCGATATACGATTCCGATTGCTCCCTTTCAAACGTCTATAATCTCTACATTACCTTCGATTCACCAAGCCCATTTAATAAGATATATCAAGATTACGACGGAGATATGGGTATTTGCAGTGATTGTCTAAAGGACATAAAAAGGGTGAAGAATGTCAAACTCAAATCAGAGATTGAAAAAGGCAACAACGCGAAGCGAGAAGAAGCTCTTAGAGGAAACAGAGTCTTGCCCAAAATGATGAGCTTCGAGAGAGATTGCAAATGGGACCAGGAGAAGACTACATGAAAATCCTCCTGAAGGCCTCAACCACAATCAAACAATAAAAACAAGCAAACGGCAAACTTCGGGATGCACATTAGAAGTTAAAGAGTAGCATAGGCTATCGTGGAAAGCAAAGCAAATTTTTTTAAGCTGTTGGAAATACAGCAATGAAAGCAAGACTTACGTATTCTTCGGAGACGTAGCACGTTGTAAAAGACCACAAAAGGTTGGAAGCACCTGGCCGCGAACATCATCCGTAAAAGGTTGTTTTTCATGCCGTCGAAACATATTCACAAGTATCCATGACAAGTCGTCGACGAGTTCTTCATCACCCCGAATAAGCAACCGCGTGAGTTGAGAGATTAAAGAGATGTCACCCAAGCTTGACATACAATTTACATCCTCTAAAAAATAAAACAACAACCTTCCAAGAGATATAGGTGACAAAGAAGCTTGCTCACCTGCGCTTTCAGATATCCTAGACCTTAGGAATTTCAAACCTGCAGATTCATTTTGGAAATTTCCACTTTTTATCATATCCAATACTGCTTTTGAGATGATGCAGCAATCATCCGCGAGAGTGAACTGAAAAAAGGAAACGCTTAGGGACCCGTCATACTTCGCCGAGAAAAGCCTAAAGCGTCGAAAAAAACCCAAAAGCGCCAAAAAAGCCAGAACGCCCCCTTCCGTGCGCATGTTTTGGAGCTAAGGAATATGTGTTGATCCATTTTCTATCGTCTGCGCATCAAAATAATGTCAAACTACCAAAAGTTCGTTTCTGCTTCCGGCTCTTTCTGGCGCTTTCAGGCTTTTTGGCTTTTTTGAGTGTTTTTGGGCTTTTTGGGTGCTTTTGGGTTTTTCTCGGCGAAGTATGACGGGTCCCTTAGAAACAAACCGAAATTACCGATATGAAATATGTGATTCAAAAGCAGCGCTAATCGGCTGTTTGGGTCCCAGATTAGACGGGCATACTTGGTCTATGGTCATCAAGAATGCTAGTCAAAAGGTGCTCATGTCAGATGTATGCGCACCCTTTCTCTGAGCTATGTCAAAAGACCTAGGCCATCATTATAGAAATGTAACAGGTCAAAATACTTTGAAAGAACTATAGTAACCACTTCGCAAATATCTTTCCCAGCTAGTAAAAGCCCAAAAATCAACAGCTGGCATGTCCAGCTAACCTATCCAATTTGCTTGGCAATCATAGACGGTGCCTCTGGTGGGCCAAAGAATTCTATTCTTTGTACTGTTGTAGTAATCAGTGTATGAGGGGTCAAACTCCAGAGTTTGCTGCGAAGAGAGGGGTGAGGGTAAGGGTTTGAACTACAACTGTTAGTTACGTTACGACATGAACCCCTAACATGCTCGTGGTCTCATAGGAGAATCCAAAACATCCAAAACAAGTTATGATCTCATTCTAAAACCATAGCACAAAGTTTATGATTACGATATCTCCTCCTGATGCATTCAGTTTAAATAAGATGAGAAAGAAAAGAAACCTCCACTTCATCACTATCCAATATTCTTTTGCTATTAAAAAAATCCTCTTGCTTCTGTTTTCTTATCTGCACCTCTGATATCCGTCGACGCTTTCGCAGTTCTTCGCTTGATAAGCCTGAAACACAGCTTGCAAATCACGCAAGGTGACATACCGATACTTTGCTTCAATAAAGCCCTTGAGAGATAAAACACCGCTTCTATACTAGAAGCCTTTATGAGAAACAACATTCGGTGATGGAACATGGCTTTCTGAGCAAAGAAGAGAAAGTTCCACATATTCTCACTTCTAGAAGTCCTACGCGAAACTTTCTCAACGTTTTCGCTCACGATGCTATGACAGGTTATGGTTTATAGCAAATTTGAAATCACAGGACTTCAATACAAATGCAAGACCAGAGATAAGCTACTAGATGTACAATTTCCAAAGAGGAAACAGTAAAAACTAATCCGACACACACTGTTCATTTGAGTTTGGTCAGAACATGAATTAAAAATTACCTTTGAGTTTATACAAACTTTCATAGTGGTTAGGTGTCGGATTTGAAACTCCTGCGCCATCATCGTACATACAACCACTAGTCTGATCTGAAAAGTTAATCAACAAGATTTTGCAAACAGTAAATGGCATGCATTCTTTCCAATAGCACAAGTATGGCACCACCTAAATTGTGTCGAATGAATAACAATACCTTCAGTGATCTCCATAACTGGGGCGAATGAAAGGTAGAATAACATCTGAGTCGCCGCTCCATCGCGATTTTCGGCTGTCCCAATGTCAACGAGCGCGAACCATGAAGTTTCAACATTCTTATCATTTTCCATTTTTTTGTGGCTCACGACTCGGACTCGCTCAATCATTCGTGAAGGCTAAGTACCGGTAGTGTCATCAATGTTTATACTTTTGAGGAGACGTTTCGGATGTTGATTACTGATTGTAATGCTTCGGATGTTTAGGTTCTCATGGACCTTATCCAAACTGCAAATCCATTGCGAAGTAGGCGTCGTCGGTATCTGAAGAAGCATTTTGAGAAGTACTGTTCAAGAGGTTTTGCACATGCTATTGCGGCTGAATCTGGAAGTGATGTGAGTCGGTAACTCTCACTGTAATGCGCGGTTTTATGGGATCTTGAACAAGTGGATGCCAGATGTCTTCAAATTCACTTTGGCAAGCGCATGGTGGCGTCCCGTATACCGATGAAACGCCCTACCTTCTGCGCTTCAGAAATGCGACGATGAGTTACAAATAATCTACTGCGAATTCGCGCTGGAAGAGTGTGGCGCCCTTCAACACCTACAGAGAATTGGAGTCTGCTGCCCAAGTCAAACGTGTTGAAGGGAGCGAAAGACACTGAGCTTGAGAGCGGCGATACTTATGGGAAGTTGGCCGGGGAACAAATAATTTGTAATGCACATCTGTCTCATCTAATTGAGCACAAATCGAGCGGTTTGGGTACCGCTCGGCCTCCTCGTTTGAGCTTGCAACGCCTTCGCAAGCTTGTTTTCAAACCATTTTCCCAGACCTAGTTAACGATTAAAGGCACCATCCACCCGGATGGTGCGACTTCCACATTTTTGTCGTTTCAGGGCCTACTCATGTCCATGATACCGGATATGAAGTCGAGAATGCGCGAAAACTCCGACAATCCCCGTTCCGGAGAACCCACAGGCCGGCTTTCCGGAACGGTGATTGAATGGGCGCGCAGAAATGGGCGAGCATGGATGGGGGTCCCCGTCATCTTCGCTATTTCGAAGCAATTTTCTCGCTTCTGAAGCGGCATTTCGCGCCGCGACTTAAGCATCAATTTGATAGGGGGCCTTACTATCATAAGTTACAAAGCTCAACACCCTCAGCTTAGGGTGGACGGTGCAATAAAGCTAGACTCTAAGCCCTTTGCAACGCTCAGGGAACGGCCATAGGTTGCCGGCAACGGCCGGTTTTATCGGTGTTGTCCGTGTTGTCGGTGTTGTCGGTGTTGTCCGTGTTGTCGAGGTTGTCGGTCGGTCAGAAACAGTTTAGAGAGAGCGCGAAACGTGGAGGCTATCATGTGGTCCTAGAACGACCGACAACCTCGACAACCCCGACAACACCGACAACATTGACAGCACCGAAAACGTTGCCGGCAGCCTATGGCCGTTCCCTCAGGCGTAGCAAAATGATCAGACGACACGTTTGCGAACGTGGCGCGATCTAGGCGAGGCGACGCGGGTGCCTGAGCCGCTCGAGGGCTCCCTCCAAATGAGACAGAGGGTAAGGCGCTTAGTATCAAGCAAGACAGAGTGCCACTGCGACGTTGGCAGCATCTTTGTGACCAAGCGCTCTGTTAACTTCTTGCGGTCTGCCCTTGCTTGTAAATAGGAACTATCTCAGTCCGATGCAAAGGCGTCAGTCTCTGCGTGAACTGACTCGGCTATACTGTCGATTCCCAAAATACGAAGGGGGGGGGGGTGAAGTTTTACACAATGACACGCAATACGATTAGCGACTCGCTATATTCCTGATACTTCGCGGTAGTGGCGGATACGGGGCGTGCAGGACTTACAAATTCTAATGTTTTGTCTTAATTGTGAGATCAAAATGAGACCAGTGGCCTACTCCAGGGTAGAATCGATATTCATCAAAAGCACTAACCCAGTGGGTTCCGGAACTCACTGGGTTCGTTGATGATTACGGCCACAGTGGCCGTATTCATCAACGAACACAGTGGGTTCCGAAACCCAATGGGTAGGCTTAACCCACGAGATCGATATTCGAGAAGCTAGTGGGTTCGAGAACCTGGCAGTGCTTTTTGTGGAAATCGATCCAACCCAATGGCACTGTTTTCGCTTACGCACTTGATAACGGAACCCACTGGGTTCGTTGATGAATACGGCCACAGCTTCGAAAAGAAAATTCGCAGAGACATAGTTAGCTATGTAGTGAGAGAAATGTAAAGCGTAAATGTGTGGACATTTCTTCTGCATCTTTGTTTATAGAAGATGTGTCGAAGAACCGCTTATATTAGTGAATTTAGTGCACATGGGTCGTATGTCGGTTCTCTCCTCATTGCGAGACCTTGCTTTATCTCGGTGACGATGAAGGCAATATTGGCGTAGCAGATATAACACCAGTCGTTGGGCCTGAACATGCTATGCAAATCACGATGGTACAATGTAAGTTTCCCGAGGAATCCTCAGAAATTTGGGCTACAGCTGGCATCTTTGAGGTTTCCCTGCTCATGAAGCTACAATTATGGATGTTGTCGGCGTACCAAATTGCCCAAATGGTCTTTTGTCCATCTCAGGTGACACAACGGTGCGGTAAGTTTACCATCTATTTATAGCTCCGGTATGTAAATACGTGTACTTCGTTTGCCCAAATTCAGCTTGTGGGACCTACAACATCAGCAATCTACTCTATACTTTGGCCATGAGATGTCTGTCCGTAGTGTTTGCTTTGCTCCAGACTGCAGCAGTATGCTTTTGTACACATGAAATGAAGGTAATGCCTACATAGGGTTGATTTTAGATATCTTTGCGACTGGTGGAAGAGATGGCCAGATACGTCTTTGGGACACCAGGACAAGCAGCTTCCAGAAGCAAGGGCAGCTAGTGAAGAAGCCTGTAAATGTGTACAGAAATGCACATGTTGTGAAGGGTCAGCGAATGCACATTTTTTCCATTTCAACAATTCCACTCATATTCACTTTCTAATCCTTTATTCACAAATTCTTTTCGATTGTGCGTTCACCCTAGTGACGCAGTCATGACCATTAGTTCAGTTCCTAAATTGCTATGGTTCTGAGCTCGGCAATGCAACGTTCGCTTATAGGTTGTCATATGCGTGCGGTGCGTAGGCAAAACTTGACGTTTACCCGTTCCTCCGAGAAGGATCGCAAAATTCTCAAAAATCATCTACATAATTTGTAAAAATATGCAAGTGATTTGTTTTTACATGTGTTGATTGCGAGGCTTTTGAAATTGTTTTGAAAATTCGAATTAGCTCTGTAAAAAAAGTTTTCGGTGAGTTGCTACCTCCTCGCCCCTTCTCCAAAATTATAGGGTCATTAGAAAGAAGAGTGCTCCAAAAGGCTGACACTGCCACATTCGAGAAGAATTTTTGTTGCGTCCCCCCCCCCGCGAAAGAATTTTCACAAATAGTCACTGCTAATGCCTTATGTTTGCAGTTTTGTCATGCAGATAATGACTAGCTCACGATTACACTAATGATCTAAAGTTCCTTGAATTTATTCAATGTGGAGTACCTATGGCTTACGAATTTACTCTTCGTTGGTCAGAATCTGGTTCTATTTGTCATGGGTTCACAGAAAATTTGAAGATTTCCGAACTCCACCGAAGAAAAAGTCGTTTTCACTGCGACTTTCCGGACGACTTGAGAAGGCGGAACCACCAAGTGTTACGAGTCTTGTGTATGCGAATGACTACACTTTGATCTCAGCTTCTTCCAACGCAAAAAGATAAGTTTTTCTCTCGACAAGGAACATCTAGTTCGTTATAGGGGAGCTTTTGTTCCAATAAATTGTAACTCGTTGCAGTGGGCTTAGATTATGGGATACCAGAAAAATTGCTGTGAACGATGAGGGCTACGTTTTATCTACACTAGAAATCCCGATCAGTAAAGATGCAGGTGTGTGCCTTGGTTCACATAAACTACAAATTTTTTCGCTGACTTGAAGTTGCAGGAGTCACAAGTCTTTGCCTCGACCGATACGGCAGCTCGCTGTTTGCAGCCGTTACGGACAACTGTGTGTACGAATACGGAATTCTAACTGCTGACACTCGACCTGGTTTGTCTGCCTTTTGAGTTATCGTTTCTTAGGCGAGGTGTTAAAATAATTTTAGTCCGACATTATACTGGCGCGCAGATAGAGTCATTCTATGTCCAGGTATATTTCATTAGATTATAGATGCTTGTTAAGCATAGCTAGTTCCAGGTCCAAGCAAGTCCAGTGAGCGATCATCTTCTGTGTGGCTCAAAAAATCAGCAAGCCGTAATGTGGGACTTACAGGTAAGATTGTTTGTTTGCGTTTCCCTTTACATCTTATATATAAAGCTGAATGTCTGTCTGTCTGTATGTATGTCTGTCTGTACGTATGTGCGGAATAGAAATTTTTATTTCTGAACCGATCGGGACCAAACTTGGCACACATATACTTCGGGGCAGGGAGCGTGTCATAGCCCACTTTTCGTTATCGATCGATGTCGATTTTACCGATTTTTTGCAAAATTCGAGCTAGAGGGCTGGGATTTGGCAGAGGGGGGTAATCGAGCATGCTGATCACCCCGAAGGGGGTGATCAGCATGCTCGATTACCCCCCTGTGCAAAATCCTAGCCCCCTAGCTCAAATTTTGCAAAAAATCGGTAAAATCGACATCGATCGATAACGAAAAGTGGGCTATGACACGCTCCCTGCACCGAAGTGTATGTGTGCAAAGTTCGGTCCCAATCGGTTCAGAAATAAAAATTTCTATTCGGAACATACGTACACGGGTCTAGCTGGCAGGCCCGGCGGAGCCGGGCAAGCCAGCTAGTATCTAATATTTCTTGATGCTTATCTAAAAATACTTCGGATTTTGGATTCTTTACTTCCGCGGAAATTGAGCAACATCTTCTATAGGAGGCTGCGACTCACTGAAACACCAGTTGAGCTATCTCATATCCACACATTTTATTACATACTAGCTGGCTTACCCGGCTCCGCCGTATGTTCCGAATAGAAAATTCCATTGCTTAACCGATCCGGACCAAACTTGGCACACATACACTTCGGGCCCCGGCGGGTGTCATAGGCTACTTTTCGTCATCGATCGATATCGATTTCATCGATTTTTTGCAAAATTTGAGCTAGAGGGCTGGAATTTGGCAGAGGGGTGTAATCGAGCATGCTCGATTACACCCCTCTGCCAAATTCCAGCCCTCTAGCTCAAATTTTGCAAAAAATCGATAAAATCGGCATCGATCGATAACGAAAAGTGGACTGTGACATCCGCCGGGGCCCGAAGTGTATGTGTGCCAAGTTTGGTCCCGATCGGTTCAGAAATGGAATTTTCTATTCGGAACATACGTACAGACATACATACATACAGACAGACAAACACATTCAGCTTTATATATAAGATATTCGATAATGAGCCAACTTTGAAAGTAGACTTTGGGGGTTAATTATGGAAGTGACTTGTATTAGTTGTTATTGAAATACTTTTGAGAAGTTTTTGGAAATTTCTAGAAATTCAAATCAACCTTGTAAGCGATTTGTCGAGTTGGGGGAGGGGAGGTTATAGCCCGTAAAAATTTGGAAAGCATTTCCAGATTTTTTAGAAGGTGTGACTTATTCCACAATGCTCATTCAAAAAAAGTAGCCCCTCTCCTCCTCATCCCGAATGAAATTTGTGGAGCCGCCACTTCGCCTAGACGATACTTATCATGTCTAATGCTCCATCAAATTGATCAGTTTAAAAAATGTGTATTAGGACGTACACGAGTTCCCTGGTGAGCCAATGCCTCCAGAGCGGCAGGCCCGAACGATGTTCCCAGCTTTCACTTTAAACGGACACGATACCGAAGTTTGCTGTGTCAGCTGGAGCCGCACAGGAAGGTAATTTTCGCATAACATACGTGTTCTTCTTTTCTACTTGCCTTGATTTCTTTACCGGCAACGTCTTTCATTTGGACAATTGTAAATAAGTTCACATTTAGATTCGTTTCCTATAAGGTAGAATTTTTCGTTGACTTCCACCTCTTTTACACTGGCTTCATTCTCATTTAGTCACCAGCGGTGGTCCATAGCTTCTTGCAGATACATCGCTTCAATGGATGACGAACACTTTCGAATATGGAGTGCTGACAATGTTACGACTGATACGGTTACCACATCAAACTTAGAGGCGGTCAAGCCTTACGAGCTGAGCGAGTCTGAGAAGACTACCTTACTCGTGAACAGGTATTTGGCAAGTCCAGAATAACGCATTAATTTTGCAAATGCTTTTGGCTCTTTTCATCAACTATAGGATGACGATTGGTCGAGATCGGATGAGCAGCGTTAATTCTCCTCTGAGTTTTGTCACGCCATCGCGCAAGCGAAAGGAACCTTTCGCAAGTCCTATTAAACGGCTCAAAACTCCTACAAAGTCTCCTAATTCAAAGATAATGAAGTGAGTTACCCTTCGCAGTTGACCCAATTTGAAGCAACAAACTCATGATGTGATGAATTAACTATATTGTTTGTAGTTTAATACTGACCGAAAAGACGTATCTCAAGTAATGGAGATTTGTAAATGCAGTCACCTCCGGAGAACAAAAGTGCTGTTTGTTGCCGTCAGGAGGGCTACGGAGAGTCAGTAACATGCTGACTTCGAAAACTTGGTGACCCGGTCATAAATTGAGAATCACCTCAAAGCTTTTCTTGAAAAACGTGATACTACTTAGAGCTGCAACGATGCCTCTACTCGAGATAATTTCACGAAATCATTGAAAGTTGCCTACATGAGTTATGAGCGCAAATGACCTGTTTTCACTTGTAACACTTGAAACTGTTCCTGGATATTTCAAAAAATTCAAATTGGACTCGTAAAAAAAATTTTTTTTTGGCTTTACAGAAAGTTTTGGGGTATAGGCCTATAAAATCTGTGAAACATCTCAAAAAAGGCGTGGCGTCAGCCATACCTCCTCATTTGAAATTTTTCGTCGCCCCCGCCCCTTCATCTGGAAAAATTTCTCGGACTTGCGAAGTTTTCTTGAGGAATTTTCAATTTTTTTTGGCGGGCCTTACTAATTTCATAATCAGCATGCTCATTTACTCCCGTGTACCAAATCGCAGCTCCTCTTTTTGCAAAAAATCGACAAAATCTGTAAGCGGTTGATAATCTCAAAATGATTATTGTATTCATAATCTGCAAGTTCACTTACTCCCACCCTATTGCAAAACATCGATATGATTGTGGAAGGCAATTGAACATGCTGGAAGTTGATAGTGTATTGGTAGTCAACAAGCTCACTTACCTGCGTGTAACGCTCCGTAACTTAGAATTTCTGAAAAAAAAATCAGTATCAATCGATCACCGAATGTGACCTATAACGCCCGCTTCACTTCGAAGTATATGTGTGCAAAGTTTAGTCCGGATCGGTCTAGATACTGACATATTGTTCGGAACATAGAAGCACAGCAGGCAGACAGGGAGGCAGACATTCGACTTCATACTCACAAGGAAAGGATGTCAGTCGGAGTGGCCTTCTGCGATGATTTGTATAAGATGTCAAAGGGCGTAAAATGCTAATTCCAAATCTGTCCTCCTTATCTGCGGTGCGTTACTGGACGAGGAGTTACGAGCGTTTAGAGGAGCAGAAAAGTGAATTATTTCTGGGATAAAAACAGTTGCCAAATTTTCTCAGCGCTTGAATGAGACAGCCGAAGTGCGGTTATATCTCATCTAAGAGGAGTATTTAATTTATAGAGTGCTGGAAAGTTTACTGGTCCATTTGAGAGCAAGGAAAAATGTTACCACTGTTTTTATCTTATTTGCATATTCAATTTTTTCTAAGCTCATACCTTCTCGTGCAGGAACGCACTGCAGATAATGAGACAGATTTGGAATGAGCATGTTATGCCCTCCAATATAGTATACAGGTCATTTCAAAAGGCCACTTCGACCAACCATCCTTCCCTTGTCAGACATTTTGAGTGGTCATCGGCGAAAAGATTACGTTCCAAAGAATGATTTGTTCTCATGAATATGGCTTCCATGTGTTTCGTTTAAAAATTAAGGTGTACAATGAATCAGTGCAAAGATACATTTTCTTCTCCTCTTCCAACCGCAAATTGGGCTTCAAATGCTTTTCCTTGTTTCAGATTAGGATCTCCTGTTTTACCGCTTTGCAATATAACAAATTCTTCTCCTGGCACTCCGAGCTCCAGTTATGAGGCCACATCGTCATCACACCGAAAGAAATTACGAAAAAGCGCTTTTCATTACAGGTTTGCACTATTTATTCATTTACTTGTTTTTGTTTTTGATATGTCGACAACATGAATCGTATAATGAAACAACGCAGAGCTTTTGATCAAAACATCAACGAAAGAGAAAAGAGCGTCTTAGCGCCCACAAAGATATGTCCATCTCTCCATCTCCACCCGTAGGAATCAGCATATAGAGAGATTCAAAAGAACAGATGAGGCCTTTGCGATTCAACATGTGAGCAGCTAGTTGGTCTAAATGAAGCAGAAGAAAGGTTATCAAGCATTCGCGGAGTGTAGGAAAATTCAATACTGCAGAAAATAACAGGGGGGGGGGTAATTAGAAATAAAAAACAAACAAAAAAGAACTATAACGACGCTTGGCCAATATGCGAATGAACTAATGAAGCAACAGAAACGTTAAAGTTATAGTCGACATGCCAAAAGTGAAACAACACCCATTGACCTGGAAAATTTGCAATGAATAGTCTCTCGGATGAAGAAGCCAATGTCGAGTCCATTCGCCACGCAGCACAAACCAAATATCAATATACAGATCCAGAAATTTTATACAGCTTGTTTTGCAGATTTCCTACGGAGAATTTGCCTAATAGGGTGTACGAGCGATTCTTGGCGAAGTTTAAAGCAAAACGACTGGTGGAAAGGCAGCCATCTTGCAGTTCCTTACTCAATTTACCTAGTGTGAGTTATGCTACTATTATCTAGAGATATATCTCTTCAACGGATCACAGAATTATCATCCTGAATATCTGCGATTTGTGATTCTAGAGCGGTAAAAAGAAGCTGGAAGACTTTTGTGTGCGTAGTGGGATTGCAGTGAGCACTTCGAAAGCTGGAAGAGTACGGTAAGTACTTGATGCCTATGTTCGTTTATAAGTCCTAAAATCGAAAAGCTTTTTTTAATTTAAGGTTACCCAGCGTCACGGAGTTTGGCAACTCTGTATGTTCAAAGATGCTATCAGAAGAAGATAGAGTTCAACAGAACTCTCCTCGTAAACTGACTGTGAAACTGACCCCGCTCAAATCACGCCCAAAAGAAGTTAAAGGTAATGTGACACATCTTGCGATAAGGTAACATACTTCCTCATTGAGCTTGTATCACAGTGGGTCACAAAAGGTTTAACCCAAAGTGGCGCAATTTAGTAATCGTCAAACCTTTACTTTTAGAGCCTACGAGTAACCACAGAAGATCTAGCCGGAATCTGCTCGATTACTTTGGGAAGAAATGTTGTATTGATATCCACTGAACCTTAGCAAAGTCTTACCTTCATGAATTACATTAAGTTCATTTTAATAATCTAAACCAAATAGAAACTAACGGAGTATGTATTAGGCCTGAGACATACCACGCGATTTGGCACCGGAACGACTATGCATAATTGATTTTTAGTGCGTTTTGTTTACGCAGGATTTGATCCTTTTGCAACAAGTTACACGAACTACGCGCCTATGTATCTAAGAGCCGCGCACGATATATTTGTAGACATCTGGCAAATCGTCAAGTCGCGCTGAGATCGCGATTCGGCTGAATCGCGCGAGGTATGCCTTTCTTAGGTTGGTGCAAAAATAATGACCCGTTCTTGTGTTATTAGTGTTGTGAATGCAAAAAACGTGGGCCAGCGTCCGTTAGAGCAAAGCAATATGACCCTCAAACTGCCACTTAAGTTGTTGGAAAGGAATTATTGTGTCCAGCATGAATGTCGGCCCTTAAGGTTCCCGTGATTCAAAATTCAGGTTGATGGTGTTCATATTGAAGATGCTTGCTTAGCTCTATGGAATAAGTCACGCTTTTTGAATTGCCCGCCTTGACATAACAAACGATCATTGATTTGCACTATAATATAGCGTTTCTAATTAGCTTAACATTCAACATTTTTTTCTTATGGGTACACTTTTCTTTCTCTTATGGGTACTCTTCATTACTGGGTGGACAGGTCTTTGAGATGCCATGCTTTGTCTGCAATTCGATATTTGTTTGCAAATTTGAGTGAAACTTCGAACTTGCTTTTGCTCATCATGATTAACATTTATTCATGCACCAATTTTCATTTTCATATTTTTTGTGACATTTTGACACACAATGTGATAAGTTTTCACCTCAATTTTTGTAAGTGTGAAAATAAAGCTAGTCTTGAAGATCTAGAAGATAAAAAGATACTCACAAGCAACGGACATAACATAATATGCTGCACCTCACATCATAAGACTGAACAACATTAATTTCGAGCTGTGAGCCGTAACAGAGGTGAGACAACTTGAGCCAAATTGCATATAGTACTGTTTAAATTCAAAAATATATGGCATTGCATCTGAAGTTGGACTATAATTCATATATTCTATGAGATTTTGTCTAAGGTGGGCGACCCCCTTCTACTGACTTAGAATTAGCACAAATATGAGTCATACGTGGCGACGCCGTGAGGCGAATACTCGACTATGACTTCGTCTTCTAATAGGTCTGGATGAAAGAATGTCGTTGAGCAGTCGCCCTGCCTCTTCGGTTCGAATTCGGTTAGCCATGTAAGCCACTCCTTCCATAATTTCTCGGCCGACGCGTGAAATGTGCGTCTCTGGCAGGACGAAGCCGGGACTGGAACGTACTCAGCTAGCGAAGCACACTTTCGTTGAAAAAAGCGCTTACTCTAACTGAGTTGGAGATAACTCAAAAGTGTACGAGTACTTGACGCCGATGCTTTTCGCCCAGTCATCGGCAGCTCCTGATGCAGGATCTAAAAATAGCTGAGATACATTATGTAGTAAAAATCATTTCTAGTCATTCTAAACTGGTAGCGTCTGTTGATAAGACCTAGGCATAGTTCTGGTATTGTAAATTCTGAGTCGCTCAAGCTTGCCATAACTTTTATTCTGTCATACGTTTTGCCAAGTACGCCTTCGTCAAAAGCTTCAAGTTATATAGCATTTTCTCCGATGTACGCCCTTTTTCGAACTCGTCTATTCGACCACGATGGGCGATGCAACATCCACACAGTCAAAGCAGCCTTTTATTCATCAATAGATGTCAAAAGCACTGGTTTACCGATCTGAGGCACAATGGATCCTCAAAAATTTTATTGGGGGAATCTTTTCAGGTCACCACTCAAGTCCCTCCCCCTCCTTTTCTTGCATATTGCCTCCCTACGTATGAAACGAGAAAACTGCATTTAGAATAGTTCGCGCAGCGCGATTCGACTCGGTGGGTGACTTACAATTTTTCTTTTACCCTACGGCGAAAGCTAAGGTGGAGGGAAGCAGCCCGACTAAGGATTACTTCCTGGCGACGGTTGCAGTTATTTGTTTGCTAGTAGTAGCGCGATCAGGACGCTGAGGCCCAAGGCATACCTCCAGCGATTCCATCAAATTGCTGAAACTCCGTGATGTGACATTTTGCCAGATTTTTACGGATCTACCGTGCGCAGTTCTTATACGCGTAGGTGCGTAGCTTCTGTTTATGGTCGCAAACGCATCAAATCTTGTCTCAGCAAAGCGCTTTCATGCCCAGCGATAAAGAGTCGTGCGCGTCGAATCCGCGAATCACTGCTAGACTAATAGCTACTAAACACAAACAAATTATTGGGCGCTAGCATCACTCCGTTCTACTGATGGCTCGGGGTCCTTATTTTACTCCTTCTGGAGGATTTCCGGTACATATCCTCCGCCAGCTGTAAGGGTACAGGTAGCGGTGTAAGCTCTCATGGACCTGGCATATTATCTTATCTAAAAGCTACAGTCTTCGCGCGATTGACTGGGGTTTCCAATTTTAAAATTATAAAAACCTTCACACTTGAATGTTAAGCATATACAACGCTGAAGTTCAGCCATGAGATTACGATTTTTGAGACTTCACTGACATGGCTTCTTCGTGCCCGCGAGCAATGGTCCGGGGGCGATTCTGACCATATTGGCTAAACTAGTCGTCGCCGAATAACTCAAGTCCAGTGGAGTTCCCTTGGTCTGTTGTTCAAGAAGGCCTGCTTCGCTAGCCCTATTCTTCATTACTTCCGAGCGTGTAAACTTTGCATCGCCTTTCAAACGGATTAAGTGGATGAGTACTTTGCAGCAGCATTTGTCCATGAAGTTCGGAAATTACCGACAAATTGCTCAGGAAGGCCTCAAGGTAGAACGTAAGTAAGTTTAACGAACTTGCAACAAATGTGTGCGACTCAATAGGGCTTCATCAGGACATAACCGCTCAAATTACCAAATACAAACTATAGAAAAAGACGGCAAAGATTTTAGAAAAGGGATTTAGCATGAAGTCCTTCAATCTCAAGTGTGTTAGGCTCTACCGACTCTGCGATAGATATAGAAAAAAATTCAAAAACTATTTACTCACATAGCCCATCCGCACTATTTGATACTAAATATCGTGTACCATAGACTGATTGTATGGCAGCTGCAACCCCGTGTGCCATTATTCTCTGAAATACCATCGTTGTACTTTCCACAACGTGAATCATTAGCAGTATGCTCCAGAGCACAAAGGAATACTCCACAGGGTCAAAATCACCTACCAAATCTTCCACATCTGGAGGATAAACGTGCACCTTATGTCCCCAAGGGTAAAGAATGTCTTGACCGAACGAATGTAAAGCAATGTAACCACGAATCTGATTTTTCCTCTCGAGTATTGCTGCCGCTAGTCCTAAGACCTAGAAATCTTCTTTCTGAGTAGCTTAGGAACAGTAAAATGAGGAATGACTGTACCTCAGGCTCACTTAGTGCAACGCGACCACAGTAAATTTCTCTGTAAAAATTCAGTGAAGTTAACATGAAATTGCAAATGTCAAGGATAACGTTAATGACCTACTGGCAAGGCCAATGGCTCACGCCTTCTTCTCCGAAATGAAATGGATAGTTTCGATTTCCATCTACGCCTGTACATTGTTCGCTGAAGCGACTAGCGGTGGATCGTGATCTTGAATTACTTGGCTTATTATCGTAAAATTTTTTAGCGATGAGGATCTTTAGAATTAAGGTGAACATTATCCACCTTGTTTTCCTCCACATTCTGTTCGTATCACGACTGTACTCGTACCCGTCAGGATTTGTGTTTGGCACCACTATTATGTCGATCTCGTGAAGCAATCGTTTATAGGAAGAGTCATGAATAAACTGAAAAACTAATTTGCTGAGCGAAATTTTGTTCGACAATCAACATGCACATTGTTGAAGCCATTATTTTCTGCAAGAGAACACGAGATCCGTTTTTCAAAAATCTGCAGTCTTCTCATCGTACTTAATGCCCAGAATCTCCAGAGAGAATGCATTCTTTTCAAATGTTGTGTATCTAGCTTATGCATCTTTCTTGTAATCACAGCTCAGAGGCGGATCGGGAGGGGGGTGGGGGCAAGAGGTTGGAGACCTTCCCCGTCCCCGAAAAGTCGCGAAATTTCTGAAAAATGCCTACATATGTCACAAGATTGGGCAAATGACTTCTATCCCTCTAAATAATCAAAGTAATCTTTACATATTGAAAATTCAAATTAGCGCATGAGAAGTGACATAAATGAGGTTAAAAACAAAATTAGTGACCTACTACAAGACTCGGGGACACGGATAGGCGGGAAAGAGCGAGGGAGGGGGAGGACCAGTAATTTAGTTCATTTGCACTTTAGTACGCCTTGGATTCCTCTCGTAGCAGCACTACTTCCTTCACCCATTTGTACACATTCAACTCCTCTCGTGTCAGCACTATTTATTCCTTTTCATTTTCTTTCGAAGCCTTCCTGTGAACTACTGACGAGAGGGTTTCTGAACCGGGGGGCGGCAGGAAGGCCACACATCTGGTCTAGTCCAAGCCCCGAAACCAGAGTGTGAAAAAGAACCTTGGATAGCATATGGTTTTTCATACGCAAATTGGACGCGCTCGCTCTGCATCTTATCAATTTCTTCATTTATCAATTTCCTAACTCTTCTCTTCTTTATGAGCCACGCCCCCTTTTTCTGAAACTGCGAATGTATAAGCCCTTCAAAATTTTTGAGCATCCCAAAAATCCGGAAATCATGGCTAACATCGCGCCTCTTTGAACAGAAGAAATTTTGTCGCCTTCTCAGAAATTTCTCGGACCACAACTTATGACTCTCTACTGCGCACGTCCTTTATCGGTATACTGTAGATTAACTGTAGTCGGTCACTTTTTCTCAATTTGTCTGCAACTGCGACATCTACGAACTTCGCGGATGTTACATAAGACTACCAATCCAACATCTATACCGTGATATGGTAGTTTTACGGTGAGGAATCCAAGCAATCCAAATAGTGCAACATGAGAAAGAGCCGTCCAGCAAACAGAGCGTTGCGAAAAATGGCAAAATAGCGTTTCACGTTTGCTTGCAGAAAATTCAGCTTTAGTGTATATTTGCGAAAAGCAAGAATCTCACCTGCCAGATGATATTTAGAGCCGTTGAATGCGAAATCCACTCTCTTGCATGTATTCCTGCATCTATCCACAGAATGGGCTTCTTGATTGTGGAAGGATATCCTATCTCAAATTAGTCCATCAAGATGAGTTCATTGGTCGAATTTTAGTCCTTTCCAATGAGAAGAAGCGATAGCTCACTTTGATAGCGTATATAGTACGCCCTTCGTATGAGGTTGCTATCTGCCAAACGTCGACAAATTGTGGAAATCGTTGAGCCAATTGCAGCAGCAATGCCATTTGCTAAACCAGTCGAACGGCTTCATGACTTTTTGAATACCAGTTCTTGACACTGTCATTCAAAGCTAATTTGCCATTAATTTTGTAGTTACTCAATTTTCGCTGATTTTTCATCTTTTCGTTACCTTATTCCACCAATCATTCTATGACAAAACAACCTCATTACCAAAAATCAGATACCAGATATCCAAACATTTGATTTTGTTAGAAAGAAACCTAGTTGAGTGAAGAACATAGTCCAGTTTTTGAGTAACATCAGCCGTTTAGGAGGACAAGAACTGTTCTACAAGGTATTGAAATCCAACTAAGAAATTTTACTTCTAGCTGTGCAAATATGTGACCAAACTTTTTTGGCATAAAATGATTAGGAATGATCTTGGGTCTAAAACTGAACAGGAACATACAATCTATCGTTAGGGAAGTAAAAGAAGAAGCAGTATTAATTTGGGTTTGTGAGATAAATTTTACGAACCCTTATTGATTTCTTCAAACCCACAAGCATCGTATTCTTTGCAAAACAACATGATTATTTGGCCATCCCTGTTCTCCTTTTCTTTTCAAAAAGAGGCTCTTTCAGTTTTTGATCCAAATGCTATGATATACTCACAAACAATACTGGAAACAGCCAAAGAATTGCGAAAATAGCAAAGTACCCTAAAATCCGTAAAATAAGTCCGGACTTATCTGCAATTTTGACACGAGAAATCGCCCTCTGCGCCGCCAAAAGTCTTGCAGATAAGTCCTCCTAAATCCTCTATCAGATAAGTCCGCAGCAGGTAAGTTCGCCTATCATGGCATGAGAAAGCGGGCTTATTTGCAGGACTCTTGGCTGCGCGAGGGCGACTTTCGTTGTCAAGAAAGCGGACTTATCTGCTAGGTCTGCTGCGGACTTATCTGATAGGTGGACTTATCTGATAGGCGGACTTATTGTACGGATTTTAGGGTACTTCTTATCAGCAAAATTTGCATCTTGGACCACCGTTATTGGAGGGTTACCCTTTGATTCAACTGGATTGGCGGCTGGGAGGCAGGGCTTTGTGGCCTAATTAAAGCTAAAAAATGATCAGTGAGCAGTTTCACGAGGGAGACGCAGACTGCGCCGCATACGTGAGCGGTCGCCTTCCAGCCGCCACTCTCGTTGAATCAAAAGGAGATTGATTATCTCGAAAAGAAGCTCACATCATCAAAAGAAAGATACTTCTTCTGAATGTGATCGAGTGTGATATCGCCGTTCACATGTGCCGCCAATGCTCGTCGTTCCCGGCGAAGCTGTTGCGTCATATTTGAAGCTGGAAAGCTTACAAATGTTTTTTGAAATTCTTTGCTAAAAAGTGAAAACTCACTAATAAGCTCATTCAATATTCCCTTCTCATCCAAATAACGCTGTACAAATTTTAGATCTTTTTCGTGTACGAGCATTTCCGCTGGATAGCCAGTGCATCGTACTTGTCGTAAGTAGTCTATCTAAAAAGCATGTTTAAACAGCAGGAGCTAAAACATTGCTCTTTGTGAATGTATTAGCTCAGATATGAATGTATCAGATTGGTCAAAAATCCAGTTTTTGAAGAAATGTAATCTCCTATCCTCTTGTGCTTGCATGGCACTGAAATTGAACCTATTCGAAGAAAATTGTTATGTACTTTATAATGGCTTTGAATGGCTTTCTGGCAAGCACAACTTGCAAAGACAAACACAGAAAAAAAGTTTTTTACCTTTTCGGAGCCTTCTCGCCGTCGGGAACATATCTGGGCTTTCCAGCATATGAAAATGGCAAAAAAGAGCTTTTTCCGAAGCCTCCACATGTCCGCATTCAGTGAAGATACGGTGGAAGTCTTTCGAGCCCCACCTCCATCGTTCCAAGCTCCGCTCACTTACACGTAGTTTCCAGTGAATGCGGACCTGGAAAGCTTCGGAAAAAGCTCATTTTCGCCATTTCCATGCCTTGAAACGCCCAAATATGGGTACCTTATAGCGAGAAGCTCTGAAAAGATGAACAACTGGAAAACGAAATTTTGCCGAGACACTGTTTTTCAGGCTTCCAAGTCGTTTAATATGAAAAACCCAAGTTCGCTTGGAACTTCTTAGTAAGATTTTATGCAATCAACGACTAACTCGATATCCCAGCAACTCGTCCAATCTTCTTAAATCGTCTTTTATGGTATCCTTTGTAGTAGCGATACGTACAACAGTGTAGCTGAAATCATATTTCTCAAAATATTTCAATTTCTTTTTGCCTTCATTTTTTATTTCATATTATTGTAAGAATGCCGATTTCCTGTGAGCCAATCCCCTAATCTGATGACGTCAGAATGGCAGAAAAACAGCATCTGTTTCTCAGAGGGGACGGGCAAAGTCAGAAAAAGCTCGTGGAAAAATGCCAAAGAATTCGAGTACAACCTTTTTTCACGGTCATTTGCGTGAGAATAGTAACATGTTCTGCATTGGATCAATCCTCGCAACATTTTGGTTACTGTGAAGATAAATACAGCGAATAAGGAGTTTATGATCGTTTCACGAAGCATGTCTTTCGCTTAGATAAGTTCGTAATAAAGTGAACATCTCAAAATGACTCATTCAGAAATATTATACATGATTGATATGTATAAAAACCTTTGCAAATTTACATCAATAACATGTCTTTACGCTTTGTGATTCAATCAACATGAAACAACCTCTTATTGGTGATGCTCAGTTGATTTGATATATTGACTTTCATAGTATAATCAAATCGAACTCACTCAGTAAAATTGCAGTCGACAAGGGCCACTAATAATAGACTGACGAAAAAGGTGAGGTAAGAAGGGGGTTGCATTGCACTGAAATAAATATGTGAGTAGAATGATTTTCAATAAGTAAGCTTAAACTATAAATTGGAAAGCGATAGATCAAATTGAAGAAAAAATTTCAAACGAAAATGGAAGAAAGATGGGATAAGAAGTTTATTGGGACTAAGAGAGACGTGATGGAACGGTTGACGTTTCTAAAACGAGGAAAAATCGGAGGTTGAACGACAGGCAGAACACGTGTGTGGTTTTTCCTCATCATTGCACATTGGCAGATTTTTGTCGATCAGCGATTCGGCACGATTTTCGCCAATAGACACATCTGGTAGAGTGAGTGTTCTTACAACTGAATATCTGAATGCTCCACGGGAAGGGAGGGGCGGGGGGGGGATCTGCTCTCTGGTAAGCGACCCTAATGACATGTAAATTTTCTTAGGCTTATCGAAGTGGTCTTAAAGGCAGCGTCTCGGCTAAATCTAACCCCCTCCAGTTAGTGTCGATCCTGAATGCAGGCCCCCACGAAAGGGGCATCTGCGTTGGTCCGGTCCTCTAATGTTGTCTCTGAATGGAGATAAGGGGCCTGGAACAGAAGTGCTATCAGACCCCGCCCAATCCTATCAGAAAGCCGTCTGTGCCCTCAAAATAGGGTCCTCAAGAATCGGGGTTTTTGGGGGTTTTGGACTTTTCGAATTTCATAACTGTAATCAGGGCTATGAAAGACCCCGGAATGGCAAAAACATGGGAAGCAAAATTTTTTGTGGACGCTGCCTTTAAGTCACAATATTGCATTAATATAAACGTTAAATTCATGGATTCCACAATAATTTTACTACCTATTCCCTAACAACTTAAGAGGGAGTAACAATAGTATAAACTTCAAGAGATTCATACCTTGAGAACTACTGATGAGATTGTTTCGACACGGGAGCACCAAGGAAGGTCGCATATCTGGTCTAATTCTTATTGTTAGCCCCGAAACCAGTAAGCGCAAAAACATATTTAGGTTTTGTCTTCTCTTTGTCTATTCTCTTTCTCTTTCTTTTACATATGGCCATATTGACATTGAACTGTTTTCCCTTGTGGTAATTTTTCTACCGAGAAATAAAACTTGGTTTGTTTTATTCTTTTTATTTTATTACTATGGATGAAAAGCTGATTTGCATTCAAGTATAATAGTGAATGAACATTTTATACAAGAGAATCTATGAGGTACGGAAAAGTATGGATATATAGGCATGGTCGAAGATTTGAGCATGAATACCCTTCCCCTCCCCCTCCCCCCCCCCCTCCCCACCACCTACCGGAAAACTCGCGAATGCCATTAACATCAGAAAAGTTGAAAAATTACAGCGGAAACTGCTCTAGCGGTCAAGGGGAGACTCACGCTATGTACTTTGCTTGATCAAGAAATTCAAAATGGGTTAAGTGTGCTGTTTGGCTTTCTTTTGACTTCACAATCAGTCTTTTTCCATCCATACAAAATTCTTACCGTTGAGGCCAAGGACTCATTTCCCGACTTTGTACCTAATTAAGCACATTGCACCTGCAACGTACTTTGAACTCGATGCACTTGCGGTCCAAAGAACACCGTGGTTTTGTGCTAGATTGCTCTCTCATGAATCTAACACAGTTTAAGATCAGTCAGCAAGTACCTCTAGGCATGAGCAGTGTCCACGGAATTAGCATTTGTTCTACAGAATGAACGAGCAATGCATGGAAAGTGAGGAACTACTGTTGCATAATCTCTTTTCTTCATTTACGAGTTTTTCTTCCACAATTTGGAGCAGGAAGGTAATTTTAATTTCCTTGCCCTTCTTCCCCTCTCCCCCCCCCCCCCTCCGCACTCCCATGAAAACCATGCACCCATCTCACAACCATCGCAGAGACATAGATTTTTGCCTACTTCGGATATTCATGGCATATAACTCAACATGTTTTCCTTCGAAGGTCATTTAACCCGCACTGAGATGGCCATGGACACAAGCTTCGACTATGGGGCGGTGCTTGCACTGCCACTCAGTGGGATACGGTAGACATACGGTAGACGTCAAATATGCAACAAATGTCAATAACATTGCATGATCGCGAAATTTAAGAAAAATCAATGCAGACTAAGCCAGCCATGTTTTAGCCAATGGATATGAGCGAAAAGTTGAAGAAATGTTAGACTTTTATGTGTTGTAGCGATACAGCACATTTGCAGCGTATAAGGTAAATTTCGTCGCAACCAACATTATTTATACATCAATTTGGAAGAAAGTAACTTATGATTACTGACACGGTTCTTCCTTGATAGAAAGGGACAAAATTCATGAAGAGAAAATATGGGTTTCGTTAAACAAGCATATTTCATAGTGTAATGACCATTGCTGGAACTTGATACAAAATGGTTTTACGGTTATTTTCTGCTCGGTTTGATTCGAAATGATTACGTCAGCGCTGTGTAAATCAAAATCGAGGTGGAGAAACCAGAAAATGCGCAAATTGGTGAGCAATATGGAATCATTTGATAACTTTATATATAGATGAAATCAGAAAGTGAGGAGATTGGCAAGCCATTCTGAATAGCAGCGAAAACAGTGCTAATGCTATTTCCAATTCTGAATTTTGCAAACTGTAAGATTTAAAATGTTTTTAGTTGTGATCTTTCAGGTTTGAGAGATTAATGACAAATAAGGAAATCTTTACGCAGACCTATAGGCCACAAGGACTTTTTATGACAAGAAAAAAAACAGAAGGCGGGCAGAAGTCCGACTCAAATTATAAAACGACTAGCACACTTACACAGCCCTTTTGTTTGTCTTCTGAAATTATACGGAAAAAAAGAAGCCTATGGGACTAGCTATTTTACATTAGTGGTCTCAGTCAGAGAAGAACAAAGTGAAATTAACTTGCTGTCAAACACCATAGAAAAGTAGCTTCTGGTATCAAATTGTATGAAACTCTTCAAAAAAATCTGGCATGAGATTGCGGCCAAATACTTTTTTCTACAACGTTTATCAAGATGAATCTGCAATTCATGTTCATAGTACAAACGCAGTTACGTTGGATTCAACCGCATCATTTTGACATCAAAATTGTCGAGCAATTTCGTTTGCGAGTGGTATCGACGAGGACATCAAAATATTTTTGTTCAGCACTAATGCACTTGGCAGGGATGCGAGAGCTTTTTTAACTCTTTGCTAACGGAGCAATCTTGCAATTGACATGGTAAATTTACATTACATTCTGACATACCACTTTTTCTTTCGCTCATAACTAGTTGTCAGTCGGCTGTGTTTGTGTTTGAAATGATAGACTTTCTAACTCAACAGACCAACCCCTCTAACCTTGGTGATTTCCATGAAATGTAATAGATGACATTTACGGAAAGCGCTAAATTTGATCATACTACCATGAGAATCGAGACGTAGTGCGCTATATTCTGATTAGTTTGAGATTCCCATGATTTTGGCTGAATATGCTCCAACCCACTGAAGACGAGCGGTTTTCACAATCATTGACAAGAAATTCAAAGTTTGAAGAATTTTTCTTTTTGGAAAAAGAGTTCACCTGCAAGGCTCTAGGGAAATGGATAGGAGAAAAATTTTTGATTTTGGGTTAGGCGAACAGCCATCACAATCATCACTTATGGAACCTTTTCATTGCCGATTTGAAAGCGAAATCGTTTCGGAGCTCGAAACTAAAGTACGCGGAGCCAATGGAAACCAATGGATAGAAAATCGTGTTTGAGAAGGCTCAAGTGGTTAAAACAACGGTCACTTTTCGGAAGCCTGCTCGTTTATGGTTCAGAAATCTGTGCAATTGCATATACAGGGTGTCCCAAAAAATTGTGAATACTGTTTGATTGTAAATAACTCCCTTGCTTTCACATCTTTCGCTGAGCTTGAGGCACCATTCTAGAGAGCGAGGTATAACTTAGATTTGCAGTACGGAGCGAATCGTCGATCGTTCTTCATTACTGAAATTACGGTAAGAACTTCAACAAGGATTTTAGGCCATTGGAGACCACATTCTCCTCGGAACAAAACCAAACAAGCCAAAAACTTTTATAATATGGTAATGGAAGCCGCTGATTTCGAATATGAAATTTTCGCTTTACTGTTATACTTCTTTCCGTGGTTATCCCAGGTAAACCGTAATAACTGAATTTCCAGCATCAGAAATATGGCTATACCGTCAAAAAAGCTGAAAGCACTCGTAAAAAGTTGTGTAGTGGAACCAGACGCGAAAACCCTAGTACTACTAAAACCCTAGGATTTTTAGATTTTTTGAAAAAAAATTTGCAAATGGCATATCTCACAATAGATGGATCCACATGCTAGAAGTTTATACCGTAATCCCACAGTAACGAAAAGAGATCGGTAATTCGCTCTATACTACAAATCTAAGTTGAACCTCGCTCTACAGAATGGTGCTTCAAGCTCGGTGGAAGACGTGAAAACAACGGAGTTATTGACGATCAAACAGTGTTCACATATTTTTGGGATAACCTGTAGTAGCCAGAAAACCTACTTTTACTCAAATTAATAGCTTGATGCAAAAATAATGGCCGTAGGCCATGGGTTCTTAAAGCTAAAAATGACTTTTTTCAAGAATCAATGCAGATACAAGGCTGAAATTTCACGATCATCCTTCCGAGGCTTTGTGGTACACTACATTTGAATTGGAGGAAAGGGGCGCAGTTAGAGGAGGAGTTTGTCGATTTTTCGCTTTTTCCCAAATTCTGAGTAAGAGAAAACTACAACAAGTGCATAAATGAACGTTGCTATGTGTCTACTGGAAGATTTGTAGGATTTCCTCGAAAGATCCGATCTTTGAGCTGGCCAAATGCTCACAGATTTTAGCATCAAACTTTACGTAGATCAAATGTATAGGTAGATTACTCTTCGTTACCAGTTTTAGAGCTTGCTTTGTCGTATCGAATGGTCTCTCATTCGTATATTTTCATATTCACATGCTTTGGTAGCTTATGCAATATTTTTGCACCAACCTAATTCATGATCTCAAAAGTACATGATCTATGAGCTTTCTCCTTTCTTTACCTTGACAATCAAGGTAACAGGACGATAAGTCGAAATTCTGATTACAGCTTGATTTTGAATTGCAAACATTTATTTCTCATAACAATTAGTAGGCTGCACTAATCACAGGACTGATGAAAGTTAGAAGGAAGGATGAGTACTACTTCCATGTTTCTGAGATTTGGCCAAAACATATCTGTTTAGTGGAGGGCTTGTATAATCATAAAAAGAGCACCCGAGATGCGTGACCGTTTGTTAAAATCACCACTGACTAGCATTTGCAAGTAGTCGACTAAGTTAAAAGCAGTGGGTTTAGAAAAATCGTCACAAGTGGGCAAAAACCAAAAGAAAGCTTGTGGCTCTAAAGTATGCTAGCCTTAAAAGCTTTTAGACCGAAAAAATGGGGAGGGGATAGCCGTGCTCTAGATAAGTATGGAATTCGCGAATTCCACATACCCCATAATAGCGCTAGGCGTTATCATGCTAATAGCGCGCATAGTTTGTTTGTAAGTCCACATCTATGTCACGAAACTAGCACAGTATGATTTACTGCTAAGATGCGAGTTGAATTCCGACCATGACCTTGAAAGCCGACTGTTCAAAGCGAATAAAGATCCACCCATAACACATAACTCAGCCCTTATGTGATCAGCATTGGAGAAGGAATGCATGCAGAAAAAATGGTTTTCGCTTGATTTCTGAAGAAGGTAGACTACACGCTCGTGGTATGGAGCGCATATACTAGCAAAATGGATAATTTCTAAAAAAAAAATGATGGTTAGCCTAGAGTGACTTGTAGCTCAATCTGTGAGTCTGCACAATAAGCGCTACCATCGACGACAGACCTACTAGTAACTTCCCAGAAAAACCTTTTCCAGCGTAGCAAACAGAAACGGTACTATTATCTGATACATGTTCAATCAATTCAACAGGCACAAAGAAGCAAGGAGAAATCACTGGAAATGAGAAAATTCTAATCTTAAAAGTCGTCAAGTAGCGCGCATGGTGTGCAACACCTACATTGGGTTAAAGTCTCGATCATACCGTTAGCATTCCCCCTTGGATCATCCGAAATCAGAGTGGTAGCATATTTGAAATGGTTCCAATAAAAAAGCATAGAAAGGGTCTAACTTATTTGAAATGGATAAGAGCTATGGATTTTTTGAGTTTTCTTCTCCAGGAATTCGAAATCGCCTACATTGATAATTTACAGAAATCGCGTTTTCTTATGTATGGTGTTAGGTTTGAAACTGATGATCACATCGTAAAAGAAAGAGAGGAAAGCAAAGCCCTTCATTTTTGCAAATCGATCTAACTGTTCAACAAGTCGGTGATGTGATTCTGCTCTTGTAAAAGAACTACTCAATTACCGCGAAATGATTCTTCTTCTTCCTTGAAAAACAAACAGAGTTCGGAAATCGGTGTTTAGGACTTTTCGCTACGACAGAAGTACTAGTTTATGTTGTCTAAGTCTTCCAAAGAGCC